GAGCACTGAAATGGGAGAGTGTGGCGGTCCTGGCACCATTGCTCGAAGGCTCGCCATTTGTAAGCGTACAAGCCTCACCTAAATCATCACTGATGTAGCCCGGGGGTTTTCGAAGTTAACTCTTTAGTTATAGAAAAATCACCTCTCTCTAAACAAGGTGTGGTAAGAGATTTTAGCTTAAACAAGCTAGCGCTCTGAAATGGGAATGCCGACACACTCTCTCTAGAACTGGAGATATCATTTCCACTGGGGGAAATGCATACAGGAGCACGTCTGGCCATTGGTGCCTAGCGCGTCCAAGCCCAAGGGTGCATCGTGGTCGGAGAGAAGGTCTGGCCCGAGGTTCAAGTGGCCCGGGACATGGGTGGCTCTTAGAGACAGAAAATGAACACTGCACCATAACAGCAGAGAGCGAGACAACTTCAACAGGGGGAGAGAGCGTGGTCCTCCCTGCCTGTTTATGTAAGACACCACTGTTGAATTGTCCGTCCTGACTAAAACATGCTGGCCCTCCAGGACTGGACGAGGTGTTCTCGGCGAGGTGAAGAGCGTAAGAACTAAGGGATGACTGTGATGACAGCGGCTATATGTGCGGGCGGGGCCGTGCGCCTTTCATCACACGTCATCTGCCTTAAAGGCGTGAATAAAGGTTTCTTCAGCCAGGACACGCGAGGGCGTGATATCCCATACTTATGTGTTGTACCGAGTGAATCGACTGAAAGGGAACTGTGAGTTGTCTAAATGATCAACATGTAGACACTGACCTGATCTAAGGTCTGCAATACCACGTGGGGCATTTAATTTAGCTGTATACACAAAACTCTGACCTGACGGCGCACAAGCCCTTGTCCCAGTTAACAAAGAATAATACTCACACTACATAAAGTCCCAAATCTCCTCGCCCCATATTTCATCAAGTAAAAAAGAAGAAAAGAAAAAAAAGTCAGTATCACACCACTACCAAGGCCATTGTTCCATTTAGCTAAATAAAAAAAAAAGAAAAAACCTGGCCCAATTTTTTCAATGTTTAACACTGCCACAAAGAGTAGCTATTACTTTCATTCCCAAAGTCCTCCAGCTTATTTCAGGAGGTCCTTCATATAACTTCACTATGATGCCTGCAATTTAAAATATCATCTAAAAAAGTAATGTAATCTCAGAGGCCTTGGTTCTCCATATACCAAATGCTGACAGGAACCAAAAACCTTATCGTATTGAGAGCACTCACTGCTACTGAAGATGTATCGAGCTTGCATTTGCGGGTATCTGCCGCCAGGGGGAGCTCTAGGTTTACTGCTGAGCAATATTGTGCAGGTGTGTTGTCTTGGTGACAGTCGACTGCAGCATAGAGGAAGTAGAAGGGTCGGCTGCCCAAAACACAAGTCACTGCAGTAACAGAGAGCTCAGATGGGACCAAAACGTTGTTGAATGTTAGTGCGAAACATTACGGTGATATTTGGAGGTAATTTGCGAATCCCGTGACAGCTCATGAATCAAATCGATCTGTTGTTTGTGTCTTGAATTTTGTAGACTGTACAGCTAATTCGCAAGGTGTGGTAAACCCCTTAATTTTAGAATATTTTGTTTTCCTCCTTTCTTTTTTCTTCCACAGATGCTGTCATAAAGTTGGGATATTTTCTGGTTTGTTGATGTAAATACACGAAAACAAAAGAAAGAAAGAGACAAAAACACACCATGGGGCAGCTGTTCTCAACTGAAGAAGAAATTTCTCAAGTGAAGGCCGCTATTGGCTCTCTCCTCTACGATGCCATGCTGGAAGATGGTGCAGTACCTGACCTGGGAGTCGTCCACCCGCTCCTTTTAGCCAGTCATGATGACAGCTCTGTCTCCCAGGACCGCCTCCAGGAACAACTGCAGCAGGTTAAAGAGCTTTAAAAGAAAGTGCGACAGTAAGCTTTGAAAAGTTGTGATGCTGTTCATGAAAGCAAAAAAACTGAGATAGCACGGAGAGAGAGAGAGAAAATAAAACACAGTGTTGTGTGTTAAGTGTGAAAGTGCTCACTGATCACCTTTAAAGCCACTCAGTCATAAGGCCCAGATGAATATTAGCAAGAGGAGCAGGACGATGCTGTTGCCTTGATACCTGCGATTAAAACAACACTTAAAAGGAGTCCTACTGGGACTGTAAAGAATTTACAAATGAATATAATAGCCTACACAGACCAATATCGCGATGAGAAGGTGCTGTTCACAGCTGTTAATTTTATTGACGCAGATAATATGAAACAGTGTGCTGGATTTCTGTTACCACTCAGCAGGCTATAAAAGTTTATGTTCTTTTCACCCAGTTGCAGAACGACATTGGGACCAAAGCGCCCACCTACCTGAGGGACCTGATTAGTCGATTGTCAACTTTCTCAGATGAGCCACGCTTGGCGGGCTTGGTGGGATTAGTGGTTTCTATGGTTATGGATATGGCATATACGTCAGCAAAACAGTCGGGTGTTAAAGGGAAGTCAGCAGGATCATCGTCATGCCAGGTAAAGCCTTAAAGGAACTAGTGAAGGAGTTATAATAGAAAATAAAAAGCAAAACAATACATGATGATATCCTTTCTCTGTGTATTTCCACTGTGTTGATCAGTATTATCCAATTCTTGGCTTTTGGAGCAGTTTCTGAACTGAAGTTATACAGGTTTCCATGTATCCCATTACTCTGTAAAACGGACCCATGCAACAGTTTTTGCATACTTAAACTGACCTTTCTTGACCAAAAATAAATGCATCATTAAGTCACTGGATGTTTATAGCTATATATTAGAAAAAATATTGTGACAATTCACCGTAACTAAATCCAAATGTAGAATAAAGACTGTTAATCTACTGGGAATGTTTAATGTGTTAACTGTAACCTGTTCAGCTGGGTTACTTAGTTTGGTTTATAACAATACATTTCAGCCAGCTGTGTGCATGCTCCTACAAATACTGTAAGTTAAGGGTGATAAGAGTAACTGTAAAAAGCTGCAGGATGTCAATACCAAATGAATTGCTTCTAAAATACTGAGTTATACATCTTTGAATTTCTTCCTGCAGCAGAGAGTCTGGGAGCTTCAGGAGGGGATGGAGGAATACCTGAAGCGCTGTAGGATCAGCTTGAATGATAAAAGCAGGCTGATCCAGGATGCTGTCAGACTTGAGGCCCGGCTCAGCCTCACCCTCACCCAGCTGAAGACGTGTCTGCTAGGGGGAGATTGTGACTCCAGGTGAGAGAATACAGTAGAGCAGAGGATGATATTATAGAGTAAAAAAAATACTGGACAAGTTAAATAACTAACTACATAGAACAGACTAAAAGAAAGAAATACTCTACAAAGAACTCTCCAGTCAGATGAAGTAGGACTCACAATTAGTGTTTTTTGGTTTCTTCAGGTCTTTGAGACACTGGGCCAGCGGAGCATCCTTTCACACCCAAATGTTGGTTCACCTGGCTCGCCTTGAGGGCAAGGCTGAGCCCCTGTCTGCAAGGGCAGCACTGCAGCAATACAAAGAAGAT